GCAGCAGCAGCAGCAGCCACAGAAGCAGCAGAGGCAGCAGCATGTTGCAATGTGTCGGTGCATGGCACAAAAGCAGCTTTGAAGCTGCACACACACACACACACACACATGGACACACTCAGTGAGCTGCTCAAGCGCGGCGGGGCGGGCGTGGGCGCGGCAAATGCCAGAGATCATCAGCTGCAGCAGCAGCAGCGGCAGAGGCAGCAGCAGAGCAGCAGCCATAATGTATTTGCTGTCACTTTTTGCCGGCTGGCGCCGCTTGGCACCGTCACACAAATAGACAGACAGGCAGGCAGTAAGAAAACTTGTAAGTCGTCAACACACACACACACGCATACACACACACACTCTCGCATAGATCAAAAGAGACGCAGTGGAAGACGCGTTGACTGTTTGCCATTTAAGGCAAGTTGCGCGCTTAAGTCTTTCGTTTTGGGCACGCAAACAAAGCCAGAAACTTATGGCTCCAACTGATGATTATGTAATGCCAATACACACACACACACACACACACACACACAGTCATAGATGATTTATAATTGCTGTGGCTGTGTTGTGCAAATTTGCAAACACTTTGCCAGTTGCCTGCTGAACATTTTAATTATGTTACGATTTGCCAAAGGAAATTCTACGCAACTAGAATATCAATTTAATGGGTAAAAACACTTGCGTCAATGCTATAAATAGCACAGACAGACAGACAGACAGACAGTCGGGCTGAAAAGTAATTGCACACAGACGTTCAATTTGTAATCGTTTAATTGTCATCTTAATGTCTGCGACAGCGACGTGTCTAGCTTTTAATGCTCGCCAATGTTCTATTCGGTTCTGATCTGGTGGTGTAACAGATTGCGATTCGTCTCGCCTGGCCTTGAAACTCGGCTGAGAGGCAAAATGAATAAACAAAGGCATAGCATAGCAAAACAAAACGAAAACACAATTAGCAGAAGCAAAAAAACAAAATTGAGCCGTAAACCGGAGTTGGGAGTTTAGCAATTGACTAAGTGGTGTCAGGCACTGAAACTGGAACAGAGACAGATGCAGAGGCAGAGGCAGAGGCAGAGACTCACGACTCGCTGACTTCGTTTCGGAGCCAGTCAAACGGGTTGAGGCTCAGTTTTAGTTTCAGTTACTCATATTTCTGCTTTTCTGCTTTTCTGAGTGAAATTTCGTTGTTTGATTTCGGGCGAAACGCAATGAGTCAGCTCGAGATGAGTTGTACAAATGCTTATGCTTCTAAGAAACACTTGAGCGACCGATGCAGCATCTGCAGCATCATTAAAGCAAACATTGAGTGCGCCTCATTAGGCACTAATGAAGCTGCTGGCCTTTGACAATGCTCAACGAATTCCCATCTTGAGCTAATTAGATTTTATGCATTTTAGCATTGTTAGCTTCGTTTGAAATCTGTTTTGCATTGACAATTGCAGCTGTCCAATTAGCTAATAACTCTTCCCTTAACTCATATTCCAATGTCAGGCCTGAAAGCCATCAGCTACCGGATATATTTATATAGCTGTGATTGCCGCTGGCGACGGCTTAGCCAGGTACTCAAAACCTGTACACCCACACAGACTCAGCCCCAGCCCCAACCACAGTCGCGGCCCCAGTCTCAGCTCCCTCTGCCACTTGGCCCACTATCAATCATCATCATCAGCAGCAGCAGCAGCCGCAGCGAGCGCTGCCTCGCATTGAATTAATGAGCTTTTTGTTGTTTTGCTCAACAAATTATTTAAATTTTGCTTTTGTGTGTGAGTTTTTTTTAGACATACACGCACATACACACCTGGTGGCTCTGTATGCTTATGTAATATGTATTTGTTTATTTGTTTGTTCGCTGTGTGTTTTTTTTTTTTTTTTCAAATTTGATGGCATTTTACTTTTGGTTTCAGTCACAGTTGCGTCTGACGTATTTTAGTATCTAGGTTGGGGTCACATCTTCTGACGACAACGTCGCATTGTTAGTGGCACATAACAATTGCAGCCACTGTGGCAGTATATGTAAATTACCAGTACGTGCTTGATGGCCCAAGCCATTTTAAGTGGTTTCTAACAAAAAGCCAAAAGCCAGAAAAAAATATATTTAAGCATTAAATGAGCAACAAAATGCGACAAATACATTTCCTAGTCGAAAAACAACTGAAAGCCTTGAAATTTTTGGAATTCTCAAAAAGCTAACATTCTCTTTTGTCTTGACAGGAACTACCCAGAGCTGAAGCTTTGCTGGGCAAATCCGAGGCTGGTGAGGATTTGCAGAATCTCGATCACGATGAGCCCACTGTCGAAAAGAAGACTGAGTCAAAGAACGAAGGCATTGAGCGCAATCTCAATCAGAACGACAACACCTACTCGGAGAGCGATGAGCCCGAGGAGATGCAAAAGTTCCCAGGCAAGATGCCGCTCGAGCTGGACTTGAGCGATCTGGCCGCTGCCATTCTGCGCAACAACAAGAAGTAAGCGAATATAGCAGAGCCAAATGCTTGCTAGGTTGGCTAATATATGATGATATTCCTACTATATAGATCCCGCATGAACTGTGTCGTGGAGCGCAAGCATGCCGAGGAGATTGTTGACTCACCCTCGAAGACCGTGGCGCTGCCTTTTGGCGTCAATCTGACCACCGATCCAAAGAAGGCGCGCATCACCGGCGAACGTATTTCCATTTACTGCGACGGCGGCGACGATAAGGAGGAGAAGGAGGCCAAGCGCCAGCGTGAGGAGGAGGAGGACTCTGAGGAGGAGGTCGAGCCCATGCGTCCCATGTTCATACCATTCCAGCGTGTGCCCATTCCCTTTGGCCGCATTCCCGACCAGATGCCACTCACCCACATGCCACAGCGCATGATGCCACCAGCGATGCAGCAGCAGCTGCCCCAGCAGGGCTCGTTCATCATCCGCCAGCTGCCGCCTCCGTTCCAGCACCTGCCCATGCGCCCGCCCATGCCGCCACAGGTGATGCAAGCCCCACGCATGGAGGAGCAGCCACAGCAGCCCCAGATCCAGACCGTGCGCATTCATATGCACCAGCTGCCTTTCCGCCAACTGGATTTGGGCAACGATGTGACCCGCGAGCAGGAGGATCAGCGCGAGATGCCACAGCGTGTGATGCCACAGCGCGAGATGCCACAGCGTGAGCTGCTGCAGCGCGAGATGCCCCAGCGTGAGATGCCACAGATTCAGATCCAGCACATGCCTCTGGGCATGGCACTGCAGCGTGTGGGCATCACCGCCGACGATCTGCGCAACATTCAGCGCATGGCCGAGGATCGTTTCACCGACGAGCTGCGTCGCCTGACCGCTGAGGATGCTGCCGGTTCCAATGAGAACAACAACGCCAACTCTAACGAGGAGGAGGAGGAGCACTCTGAGTCTTCCATGGCACCTGGCGAGCAGTCCACTCCAGTCGCTGCACCAGCTCAAGCCCAGCCCCAGCCCCAGTCAAGCCAGCAACAGTCCGAGGAGCAGCAGCAACAGCCGCAGCAGCAGCAACAGCAGCGTGACCAGGAGTCCAGAGAGCAGCAGGAGGACCAAATGCCCCATATGCAAATCCAGCGCTTGATTCTGCAGCCTCTGCCTGAGCAGCCACGCGACACCATGACTCCACCCATGCTCGATCAGCCACCACAGGTGCCGTTCGGTCGCATGGTCTTCGGACGCAGCCTGGCTCAGCCCGTGCGCATTCCCGTGCCCATGATGCAGCCAGCCGAGGGTGGTGCCGCCTCCGAGGTGTCTCAGCGACCACACTGTAAGACTCACAGACTTATCTAAAGTAGGCCCCACATCTAACTCTCTCTCTCTCTCTCTTTCCTTGCAGTCGTTCAGCCTCGTTCCGTTTAAGTAACAACAACAACACGCCTGTGATTGCTGCTCTGTGAATCGAATCCTCGTTGTGGTCGTCGTCGTCGTTATCGTTTTCTCTATATCAAACCGTGTAACTGTGTCGTCATCCTTTGCTCGATTCCAAAACAATAATAACAACAAACATCTGTAGCAGCCCCCAAAACGCCAAAAAAACAACTGAAGATGTCAATCGAAGGAAATTTTACGTTTTGGTTTAAAAAGAAAATCTCTGTATCTCCTTTTCCTCTATAACTGTCTATCTATAATTTTATATAATCTTTTTAAATATATATGTATATCCTATGTATTTGTATATTTTCTTAAAATTATTGTATGTATAAATATTCCAATCGGTCCTCTCGAATTTTGTGAACAATATTTTTGGAATCAATTTCTAACGTTTTGAATTGTTTTCTTTTCGTCCCCCTTGTTTTTTCACAAATAAATCCGATTCAAATTTGTATATAAATTCTAGTATTTTATTTTTAATACTTTTTTAGTAGTTTTTAGTAAGTAAAACAAACAAACGAAAATTTACCAACAATCAATCAAATTGTACATTTTTATATACATACATTTTGAAGTGAATAAAATTGTGGATAATTGGAAATCAAAAGTGAAGAATGTATTATTGTTAATTAGAGTGGAAAACTAGTGAGATATTCGCAAAATACTTTAGTGAGTGCAGAGCAGATTAGAAAAGGTTATTCAAAACACTTAAAATACACACACAAATCTTAATTTATTGAGCTGCTTAATATCGATCTTCTAACTATCAATAATCACTAGCTGCAAAGCTTGCACTTAAGATAAAAACGATTCATTAGCTATAGCGTCAATAAATTGTTTTATTTGTTAATATACTTTTTTCATTATTAAATATTCTTCCGTTTCGTTACGTAATTTTTTTTTATTATATTAATTTCGTTTCGAAACAAATTTGATAAATTTGTCGTTGCTTAAAGTAAATTTACAAAGTGCAAGTCGTAAAAAAAATCCAACAATTCTTTTTACCTTTTGATTATTTTTATACAATATATCAATCAATGATTAGTGTCAGTGTATGTATGTATATTTATATATACAATATGTGGGAAACAACCGATTAAGACGTTCATTGGCGCAACAAAGGACGCACAGTATTATTATTAGGTTTACTATTGTTTACAATTGGTTTTTTAAATATATATAAATATGACTAATCGTAAGTTTGCATTGACGGGTATAACTTTGCTCTCGCATAATCAGAAAAATTTACAATACATTTTGTAGAGCTTGCTTAAAAGAACTTCGCTTCTACTAATTCTAAAGAAAAAATTATAAAACATTGAATACAAATTTAGGATTGCAGGATCAAGGGGAGGGGTGGTACAAAAATTTAGCTAAATTAAAATACATTTTGAAGAGGCCGCTAATATCGAATGCGTTGGGATGGAATAGTTATTGTTATTGGCTTTCCTTGTAGGGCGGGCAGATAAATAGAGTTTCTTATCTGTTGACAAACATTCATGTACGTTCTCCTCTTCTCTTTTTGTAGACTCACTCACTTTTATCACTGATTGTTTGTTTATGCAAATTGTATGTATTGTAAAGCTGCAGCAAACGCGAAACGAATTTAATTAATTAGCACTCCTCCATTCCGCCTCGATTTCGTTGACTATTCGCTCTGAATTTGGGCACGGCATCTAGCCATTCTCACAATGATGACCCTCGCAGCTGCCCCAGAAGATGCAGTTGCCTACGCCGCTGTAGCAGATGAGTGAGACGGCAGTGAGAAATACTAGGCTACAGATTGTACATGGCTTGCGTTCCAGAAAAAAACCTATCAAATAGAGTACTATGAACATGACGTGCGTCTCCATCAGCGCTGGATTTGTCGGCTTTGGTATAAGTAAGACGGGTAATAAACACTGCAGGCAATACATTTTCAGGCCGCTATGTTGACGTGTCGTTTATATCTCAGTCGTTTTGTTGTTGTTGCTGAAACATTAAAAAGTCTGACTATAATTGAGATTATACATAGTGAGTCCTGGGGCCGTGCGAGACGTCAGCACTATTTATTTGTGTTGCTATTGTTGTTTGGGTCACAGTTCTGAGTGTGTCTGGCATCGGTCACACAATTGCATACGTGCATATGGCACTTACCTTACTCAAATCCGGCTGTTGTCTGGGTTGCTCGTTGCTAATTTCAGCGTCAGATTATTGTGCGTATATTTGTTATCACACATTGCTCATGCTTCTTAATTTCTCAAATCATTTTATACATATGTACTTCGTTATCGTTATCGCATTTGGCAGCTGCAGACCTATCGTGAGTCTTCAGACTAATATCGATAGTCGTGACGAGCAGTAATGCTCCACACGATTACCGCGGAATGATGATTTGTACTTATTCTAAAAATAGCTACTGTTTATTTATTTAACGGAAGACTTATTAATACATTGTACAGTCGATTTTTCTATGATATGACTATATAACTAATATACATAAACCTTTATGTACGTATGGGACAATGAACTCTAGAATATGGCAACAATACAATGCTTAGAATGCTCCTTTTTGTTCTTTAGACATTCCAATAAAGCTTATTGCTGTACAGCGACGGTTCAGTAGCGATGGGCAGTAGGAAAATCCAACCAACAAGTCCTACTACGTACAAAACTATTGCAAGAAGGCGTCGCCACAGATTCTGCTGCCAAAGATCCTGCACGTCAGGCAATCCCATATGGTTGCACAGAGCGTGAGCCAACAGAGGTGCTACAAAATGTCCCGTGCGAGCAAACAAATATGCCGAATAGAAGCCAAAGAGTGTTGTATAGGTGAACTGGAACAAGCCGATTAGCAACGCGGAGCTAAACTCCATGCCCATGCTCAATCTCTCAGCAATGTGATGCAGGTGAGCAACACCAAAGAATAGCGGTGTTATAAATACTGCAGTAATTGGCGGGTAACTTTGTAGAATAAGTGGCATCATGCAGGCGCGAAAGACGAATTCCTCACTCAAGGGAGCCATTACCAAGTTACGTATCCAGATAATGTTACTGCAAGAGCCGCGCCAGTAGTCTATATCTAAAAGCGATAAGCAAGACATGAATTTATTGATTGTGTCATGATAATCAAACTCACTGAAGTAGGAACTGAACGATTCGTTCTGCATGTTCACAAATATAGGTCCCAGAAATAGAAGAGCTGTAAGCAAGTAGGGAATCAGTACCGCCTGCCATAATCCTTCCAACCGAAAGCCAATTAATTTCAGGAATGGCTCACGCTCCAGCAATTGTGGTGATGAGAAATAATACACGAATAGCGGCGCGATTACCATGACACATGATACGCTGGCAAACCGTCGCTTTATTGTCGTCGGATGATCACGATTGTGTTTGGTGCTCCATACGTAGAGACTGCCCACATAGATGATAGCCAAAACAATGCAGGAGCTAACTGATATGAGGGGTGGAATATTTAGCAGCGTCTCCTGGGGTGGCAGTCTTGTTATTGGAGGAGCCATTTCACTTAAATTTAGTATTTATTTAGTTAAACGATACTAGTTATTGAATAAACATTGTCCAAAAAAGAAATTTAAAATATATTTAAAAAACAGCTGCTTATAAAATTCTGGCAGAGCCCTATCTTTAAATGGTGGCTAATGTTAATTTCTTACTGAGCAATGTTAATTAACATAGACAAATCCATGGGCTATCGACGTTTCTCTTTTTTACGTACGTTGCTCACTTTGCGTTTACGTCTTCTGTTGATTTCAGTGCTGCTCTGTTAAACGACAGCGGCGGCGGCAGCGTTTGGTTGTGTGTTATTTAAACAAACCGAATGATTTGAGTCAATAAAAGTAGCTACGCCATAATCACAATTAAGTTTCCATATTGAGCTCAGTTCATTTCGAGAGTGCAATATGTCGCTATTAATTAAAGCCGCTGCCACCACACGTCAGCTCATTCATAAGGTTTCTTTAACATCATATGTTAACTTAAATTGACCTTTGACTCAAACTCCATTTCCGTTGTTTATTTATATCCAGGCACCAGCGTTGCAACAGCAGGTGCGACACCTGAATCTTTTGGAGTTCCAGTCCAAGGACTTGCTGCAGAAGTATGGCGTAGCCATACAACAGTTCAAGGTATTGGATAACTCCAGTACCGATACGCAAGTGCTCAATTCATTTGGTAATCAAGCGTAGACAAACCGGTTGACATAAGCCCTAATTGTTGTTAATTATCATCTAAGATTGTCCCGAATATGTGGTCAAGGCACAGATATTGGCTGGCGGGCGCGGCAAGGGTACCTTCGACAATGGCTTCAAGGGAGGCGTTCACATAACCTCAAAGTAAGTGGCCATCGTTCCATCTGTCGTCTGCCGTCGGCCGTTTGCTGTCTCTCTGCATTGATAACGCCGTCGTAGATAAGAGAAAGAGAGACGAACGACTGCCGAATAATAAACACAATTAATTGCCTAGTACTTTCGCTTTGCAGCAAGAACGATGTGCTCACGCTCAGCAAAAAGATGATAGGCAATCGGCTGATTACCAAACAGACGCCCAAAACGGGAATTCTCGTCAACAAGGTGATGGTGGCGCGCAGCGTAAATATAACACGAGAGACTTATGTCTGTATTCTCCTCGATCGCGAACATAATGGACCCGTGCTGATTGCTTCGCCAGCTGGCGGCATGGACATTGAGGCTGTGGCAGAAGAAACTCCTGAGAAATTGTTGACTGTTCCACTGGATATTGACAAGCCGATACCGGAAGATAAGCTAATCGAAGTGGCCAAGTTCCTGGAGTTCAAAGGCGATGCCATTAAGCGTTGTGCTGATGAAATTCAAAAGCTGTATACTCTGTTTAAGTCTGTGGATGCTGTGCAAATCGAAATCAATCCCTTGGCCGAGACTGACACGGGTGAAGTCATTTCCGTGGATGCCAAATTGAATTTCGATGACAATGCACAGTTCCGTCAGAAGGAGATCTTTGCCATGGACGTTACTGAAGAGGAGTCCGATCCCCGTGAGGTGGAGGCTTCCAAGTATAATCTCAACTATGTGGCCATGGATGGCAACATTGGCTGCTTGGTAAATGGCGCTGGTCTCGCCATGGCCACCATGGACATCATTAAGCTGAATGGCGGTGAGCCGGCCAACTTCTTGGATGTTGGTGGTGGTGTCAAGGAGGAACAGGTGGCCAAAGCTTTTGAGATCCTCACTTCGGATCCAAAAGTGAAGGGCATTCTGGTGAATGTGTTCGGTGGCATTGTCAACTGTGCCACCATTGCCAATGGCATTGTGGCTGCTTCTAAGAAATTGAAGTTGAATGTGCCGTTGGTGGTGCGCTTGGAAGGCACCAATGTAAATCAGGCTCGCGAAATTTTGAAGAACTCTGGCTTGCCCATACAGACGGCCAGTGATTTGGACGATGCTGCGCACAAGGCAGTCGCCTCCCTCTAAACTGAACAAATTTCCTGATTGTTAAAGACGCACACATTGGTTTAGCATTTAAACGTACAATATATAGATAATATATGCATGGATGAGCCTTTTATTAATTGTAAGACTTTTACACAATATATACATCAATATATTATGACAACAATGAACAATTTATTTGAACTAGTCATCGAAAAGAAGTTGAAGTCGTTTTTCAAATAGGTTTTTGCCGCCAAAGTGAACTCAGCACAAGCCGCTGTTAAATAGTGGATTGATTGCATAACAGTCCTGTACTATCGATACCAAGCTTAGTCACGAAACTGTTATTAGGAACTAGTGCGCTGTAAAGTTTAAGATTGTAAACAATTCACCATATGATTTATTAAAATGGTTGTATCTAACTGAAATATCTTGCTATTAAAATTATATTTCAATGCTGACATTATTTTTTATTATCTTGAGTTAAAAATAAAATATTTAAGTCAAGCCAACAAAATGTGGAATCAGTAAACTAGTTCCGTTACTCAGTCCAACGAGCCGTTCAATGGAACGAGCTCTACGCGATTCAATACAACTCTACAGTCCACACCCTAAGCTTAAGAAACAAACATTCGAAATCTGTGAAAAAACATTGCCAATATTGTACACAAAGCATGCAAAAAGCGCCACATTTTGCACGCGAGGATTCCCAGGAGCATTTACCCAGTCCGCACAACACCGTCAATATGAAGCGCCGTACCCTAGCAGGCACATGTGGCGTTGGCGTCTTCATCTTTGCATTCGCCTTCATAGCCATAGCGTTTGCAACGCCCAGTTGGCTTGTAAGTGATTACCGCATTACGGGTGCCAAGTTGGACAAGCTGGGCCTCTGGGTGCATTGTTTCCGTTCGCTACCCGATGTGAACGATGACAGTCAGCGCCGATTCTTCGTCGGCTGCCGTTGGGTCTATGACCCATTTACTAAAGGCTATGATGAGATACGTGGATTCCTGCTGCCTGCCTTCATGATAACCACACAGTTCTTTTATACGCTTACGTTCATTGGCATGCTGGTCAGTGCCATTGGTGTGCTGGTATTTTTCCTCTGCGCTGGGCCAGATCAAAAATACTTCATTACATTAATACGTTCCGTTGGATATGTGCTCTTGGGTGCGGGAGTCTGTGCGGCCATTGCAGTGATTGTGTTTGCTATATTTGGCAACCGCAATGGATGGATGCCGGAGCATGCGAACAACTGGTTTGGCTGGTCCTTTGTGATGGCATGCGTGGGCACGGTGCTGACACTAGTGGCTGCCACGTTATTCCTCACCGAGGCGCATGTGCAGCAACGCAAGCGTCTGCAGTTCAAGGAGTCGCAGACCCGCTTTGAGCTTGTGCGTGGCTAATGCACTCGGCATTAGAAGCTTCATACAGTGACAATAAAATCGGTAAGTAGATGTGGTATGCACCTTGAGCCAAGATAATAATCTTCAATCTTTTGCTTACAGCAGCACACAACAGCAACAACACTAAAACATTCCGTCCCCACGACATTTCAACAAAGAATTCTCACCATATAATTAAATGTAGTTTTATGCAGCCGCTAGTTGAATGTTTATGCAATTGTCAGAGTTACATTTCCGCACCAGCCATGCCGCATACAATCCAAAGAGACTTTCAGTTGGTACTTATGAATCATCCAAACTACAAACTACTGTCATTCGCATGTTCTACAGCTGGGTGACAGCAACTGCAACGCTTCATCTCAATTTTATCAATAACGACAGCAGTAACAGCATAGCAATAGCGGATCATCAATGAAGCTCAAATGAATCATTATCGCGTGTACATCAGATATTTGCATACGAAATTGCGCTCAATTAACGCACAATTCCACCCCCGGTCTATTGTTTTTCTGACGTCGCATGAGCCTAAAACACTAACAATTGAAACACTCGTGCCTTAATTAGACAGCTTTGCTATAGCTTATAGTGCCTTTATAACAATTATGACAATGTTAGTTTCTCATATCAATGCGACGATCACCAATTGGATTGCATAAACATCTACTAATCTAGTGCCTTAGTTAAGAATTCGATGTCCAAAAAAGTATAAACGAGAATCGTAGTTAAGCGATTCGAAACGTTAACGTCCAATATATTTAATATTTAAGACATTCCCTTTGCTATTGAATACCTTACAAAACGTTTACCTGTTATTTATGGTAGCTCTCTGTTAGTGCATGTCCAACCTATCATACGAATTGTGTACCATATGCAAAGTATTGAAAAGTGTTTTTTATCATATATACAAACATATTAACTTACAATATACACATATGTGTGTAACATTTTTGTACAAACGACTTTTTTAGCTAAAGTGACGAATAATAAACATTTTTATTGTATACAAACGAAGTGCATAGACTATTTTTCTATATAAGTATAGTATTATGTGAGTTCAAGGCACCTGACAACCAATAACAATAGACCCGAAAATATCAACGTGGGAAGTTTTCCCATAAGCGTGCAGTTGTGTTGGACAAGCGAAATGAAATAGTAAAAGGTAAGCTTTGAGCTTTTGTGCAACATTTCATAATGTGCAACAGCGATTCAAATTTCTGGATGGAGTCAACACATATTTAGGTTGTGTGACATAATTACGACTGGGTGTTGGGCATCTGAATTACAGTTAAGATATGTTGTTATACTTTTACTTGACATTAAATATTTGCATTTGTATTTAAAAGGTATTTAAATGCTTACCTCCAAAATTCTTCATTATTCCTTAGTGCTAAAATATTTTTGCTTTTGGAGTTATTTTAAGGTGCCTTAAAATGCGAAATCAAAATTTAATTAAAATTTCAAATCTATTTGGGCATAATTAGTTAGGCACGTCGGACTAAATGTAACCATAGAATTATGAAACCCACGCCAACAGTTGCCAAACTTGGCAAATAGTTTATTTAATTCGTGAGGACGTGTCGAAAATGCTTTAAGGCTATTGAAGCGTGAAAGATCAGCCACGTAATCCGCATTGATGAATGGATTATTGATGAGTTGCTCAAAATTAAAAAATTTAAATCAAAAGTAAAAATCGGCACAGATCTAATTAGCACTTGTCGAACCGGATACTTGGCCAACTGACTCATCGCTTGGTAGCCTATAAAGAAAACAACTCTAGCCTTGATGAGCCACACAAAAATGTGCTAAGCTCAAATATATTTACGAATTTATAATAGCAATCCAAATATGAATCTGAAACGTACTTCAAATGACCTCACAAACACTTAAAGATTTGCGAATGCCGTTAGCGGTTAGTACAGGCACATAAATCCGATTACAAATTCCAAAAAATAAAGAATATTAATAAAAAATAACGGAACAAATCAGAATCACTGTGAGAATATAATAACCTATCGTATATATATTTAATTGCCGACTTGTCAACGGACGGGTTCAGTAAACCGCATAACGCAATTTGTGTCCACAGCCGACAGTTGCGAGAACAAATTCTAAATTGACCATAGAAGCTGAAGTTATTACGTTTTGATTTACGACAAGATATAATTAAAAAATTTTCATCATTCGCAGTTGGATTAACTAGAGTTAAGATGTTAAGCGGAAGATTTCGAGTGTTTGAAATGCTAAAAATAAGAATGAGAAACAGAAAATAACATACAAGTATTTATTCAAATGCAAATAAATATATATACAAAATTTATTAAAAAAAAAAATAGAATCAAAATAACGAGAGAAAACAACAACGCCAACACAAAGTAAATTCTTTATTAATTTGGGCATTTTCAAGCTTTTGAAACAAATTTCGTTTTCATTTGCATAAAATGTTGCTGCCAAGAGAACTTGTCTGAAGGATAGAATGACGCACAGGCAGACGGTCAGTGCGGCCAACTGAAGCGACAAGCCCCATAATAAATACAAGTAAAAGTGCTTTGCAATAGGGAATAATTGACTAAGAGTTACTCTAACAGCCGTTGGATGTCGTTTGTATTATATACAATTATTTTAAATGTATACCTTATATTAAATCTAAGATCGTCTGTCGCATAGGCTTTAAGAAAAACATCATACCCCAAACTCGTATCTTAATTAGCTTTAGAGTATACCAAAATTAATTTTTGATCGGAACGGCATTAACAAAGGCCTTAGACCGGTTCTTCAGCATCAAACAGTGATAAATTGCTTTGGAACTTCCATAAATACAAAATTCTTTTGGAAGAGAAAGTTTATAAGGTATTGTAGCTATGTTATAGAATGTGTAAGTACGTGCTGAAGATGCCTATATAGAGTTCTATATTATAAGTATATATACTATATTAACTAAAGCATATACATATAAGTGAAAGTATACAGAACTTCAACAAATATAGACATTATAAAGGTCTTATGATTACATGGCCAGACACCCGTGTATGGAAGTCTCCATATGCCAGAAGTGTATTTTATGTTCGATTCAAAGAATTTTCTTAGTTCTTTCTATCCGTTTCTTGGTGAATCTTACCAGCATCAAGTGAATGAACGCATCGAAACTAAAAGTCTGTGGTATTCGAGAAACCGAGAGTGCGCTTTCGATTACGCAAATGAATTTGTGGATAAACACATTAGGGTTCACATGTTGTTTGTGGCTGGCAAACTTTCGTTTGTTATGTGAGCCGAACCGAGCCGAGTCGAACTCTAAATATTGATTAACTGCTCGAAATGTGGACTCGAGCTGAAGGCTGTTTATATCTATCCCATTCAAATGTGCCTTCTATGGGCATAATTAAAACTTAATCGCTCTATTTTGTAGTAGTCAAATAGAACTGCTTTCATGACACAATCACATTGTCATTCCCATTCAAATGGCCAAGACCAGAGGCCGAAAATGATAAATTTGCCTTCTTTATTTGATCTGGCTTAAGTGGTTTCCTTTTATGACTCTAGAACCAATCGAAGCTGGCTTGAAGGCCGCCGACCTTGAGCTTTAACAGGACAAATACTGGTTAGCTATCTGTTATTTGTGATTTTGAATACCGTGCACTTGATAGCTAGGAGGGTATAATGTCTTATAGTATATGTTGTATACAAGTTGCAGCTATATGGGCTAAATTTTGGCATAGTTTTGTAGACTGGTCTCTTAAACTTTAAATTTTAATTTAAATGCAGAATAAATCAATCGAACTAGACAAAAATGCACTAAATCAAGCATATCGTTTCATTTTTGATAGATTGTTGAAGGCTGGCCGCTAGAAAGATTCACGTAGTAGCTCACCATGAAGTATCTATTAGTTGGGCACTCCCAGCTGAAGCATTCCTACTTATTTAATGATCCATCTACCAGCCAAACTTTTGCTTATTTGCATAGCATTAAACATGCAACTTCAAGTTGTCTAAAATAGAGCAGCTCTTGCAGAAGCCAGACAACAATTCGATTAGCATTTAAAACATGTTTTAAGCTGGCTTTAACTAAAATTCTACATTAACTAAATATATTTATATATGTATACACTTTCTTTATGCTGAGAACAAAAGCAAAATTATAGAATAAACAAAAGTGAACAGAGTTATCTAATCAAGCTAAATTTATAAATGAGGTACAGTTTCTACCAATTTGTTGTAGTCAAAGTGTCAGCGATAGGCAGACAGTCTCCTGGACAGACTCCATATATTCAGCTGTCATGTATCATTCACATGAAGTATTTACCTTGAGAATCGGATCATAAATCTGTTCTTTCTAGGGCCATCATTCCAGATCTTGCCTTAGATCTTGTTGCTCTCAAACTGAGCTCAATGATCGCTTAGCGTTAAAAGTTCCATGAACTTTATTCTGAGCCGTTCATAGGCATCGTTTTATTGTGTAGTTAATAATAAAAGGCTCAAAGGTATATTTAGCATAGATATACGATAAAAATACTGAGCTGTGCGAGTGACAGATATTATCATCGAAATGTTAAACACGATGCCCAAACCTGGCCAGACGGGATGGCAGTTGGTGACAAAAAATAGCTTTAAATTATATGAAATTTATGTAAAAATATGATTTTGGATGGGTTGGCGACTGGGTACAGTTAGAACAAGTTGGCACACGATATTATAATTTTGCCAAGTTATGAAACTTAAATGGCATTAACACTTCATATTGCGACGGAATGAAACTAGAAAACTGCAAAATACAACCAAATGGAATGCTTAAATGGTTTTAAATTTATGCGCACAATCGATGGGTTTTTCGGCCTAGTAGTAGCAGAAGTAGCTGCCTAATAAAACAAAAAATAAAAAGAAAATAAAATAAGAAATATCAACCAATTAAAGTTGACATTCAGCCAGGTCCTGACTAAGGCATTTGCTTTGATAGTGAACTTGTTTGACTCGCTTTGGAGCGTTGATTTTTATGAGAGTATTTTATAATTGTATTTTATTTGTTAATAAAAGCACAATATAAACATGGCTAAAAGCCCAACTAATTGAATTATTTCCATGCTAATCGTAAAAACCTAAAAGCCATGCTCCAAAAAAACAAATCTTGAATATTAAATGGGAATTTGTTAGCCGCGCGGCACATTGATCACAATCTCCTGTCACAATTGTTTGCTAAAATATTATTTAATTTTGTTTGATTTAGATTTGCTTTAGTTTCAGTTTTAGTGGAAATTAATCTTTGTTTTTATTTGCTCGACGCCTCAATGCCACCGGTCTACGCTTTATTATTTATTTCTTCCACTCAACTGAGTGTTTGCATTTCCTGAAATGGCAAAAGTGATCTAACTAAGGTATTATATAAAGATTTATATGGTATGTGCATGTATGTGTGTTTACCAATACCCGAATCCAGTTGAAAGTAAGGCAGATGAATAGCGAATGCTTGAATAACATTATCATCTCTGCGAGACGAATTGTAAATTACTTTTGGTAACCGATTCAAGCTTGAAAATTCGTATATGTATATATATGAGTGAATTATGAATCTTTTGTTTTTGTTTTTAGAAAATCTTGAATACTTTTGTTTCATGCGAATGTTTCTCTTAACATGCTAGAGAAATAGCTGAAAAATGCTTTTGCCTTTTATTAGTTGACAGCATTGTAGACCTCATCTCTTAACTAAATATCCCC